CTTGCGGAACGGTCCGTCCGTTCCTCAGCGGAACGAACGTTCCTCAGCGGAACTCTTCCAGATCGCTTCGTCGCTCTTTTCTCGCGTTGTTCTCTTCACGTGTGATCCATCCCTAATGGTGTGTGACCCTGTAGGCCCATTCGAAGTGGCAGTGGCTTCGGAAACCTTTTCCGAACCACAAGTCATGGTTAGCCTCTAGCAAGACGCCATGACTACCCACCTAGAATAGAGTTAGAGGTGATCTAACAAAGCGAGCAATAGTTCGAGTTCTGATCCTTTGTCTCACGATGTCGTATGTTGAACAAGGGCATGGTATGAGTCACCCTTCAAGTTCAACCGCTTACTCGTCTAGGCAAACCGACTGATAAAATAGATGTACATTCATCTATAGCGTGGCCACGCATTTTCACAGTCCGATTTCCACGAGGGGCCCAGCGACATCTCTCCTGCGTAGGAGGTGACAAGTCCCGTATTGCATGTCTACTATCTGCATATGATTCGTGAACGTATCTGAGCAACGCCGTTATGATCATCCGGTTAAAGACGACGTTTGACGCAGTCAAGACACGTCACTCCTCATATCCGATACTCTAGACATCTCAGGTCTGAGGATCCAAGAATGAACCGCTGTATGAGATTCAAGTCATGACTCGTGTCCATGTGACAATCTCATGCGGGTCATCCAGTAACTCGTTCCAAACGAGAACCCATGATTGTGATTTGCATCTAATGCATATGATCATAATCATCTATCACACATCATGCTGGTCTTAATTCATCATTGTTCCCACAATGATAACTGACCAGGGAATTTAGAATCATCTGCAATGATTCAAGGATATTTACCGTAATATAACAAACATGCTAATCATATAACGGAAAAAGTAATGCATTCATAAATCAATGAATCAATACAAAGTCAAAATGTCATATCAGAATCATCCTAGAGCATCACAACCAACACCGACAACCCTCCACCAATGATACAGTATGCTTCGTGGATGTCTTGGAAGCAATGGTCGAAGAAGTAATGAAAGAATTCCGAGAGATCGATCCGTTGGAAATATCACTAATGGCAACAAATGAAAGTTTGTATAGCAATTGGGAGGAGATTGAGGTGATCAGAAAGGCTTTGGATAGTGAAATAGAAGAAAGTGACGAGTTACAGAAATTTCAGGTGGCCCTCCCTAAATTTAGGGCGGCCAGCTTGAAAATGGAAGAATCAGAAATTTTTACAGAAAATTCAGGCGACCCGCTCACAAAAACGGGCGACCTCTCTACAGTTTCAGTTGGTTCACAGAAATTTCAGGCGGCCCTCCCTAATTTTAGGGTGACCAGTCTGAAAATGGGGCAATCAGGAAGTTTTACAGAAAAAATGGGCGACCCGCTCACACATAAGGGCGAGCGCCCTGTCAGCTCAAGTGAGTCACGCAATTTTCAGGCGGCCCTTCCTCATGGTAGGGCGACCCTCCCATTTGTTCTGAGCAAAAACGGAGAACCAACTCATGAAACACTCGAAGGTAACCACGAAGGCCAAAATCTCGCAGCATACACCCTCAGTGACATACCTAAAGGATCTAAGATGACTCCCTCCACTGATTGGGACCCGGAGCAAGCACCGAAGGTGGAACTAAAGCCCTTACCACAAGGGCTTAGGTATGTCTATCTCGGTTCTAACTCTACATACCCTATCATTGTCAATGACTCTCTGGATGACTTTCAAATGGAAAGTTGATTGCATTAATCAAGCAATATAGGAACGTCTTAGGGTATACGCTAAAGGATATCAAAGGTCTTAGTCCCTCACTTTGCATGCACCGCATTCATTTAGATGATGAGGCTAAGTCATCCATAGAACACCAGCGTAGACTAAACCCCACCATGAAAGAGGTCGTTAAGAAAGAAGTGTTAAAAATGCTAGATGCGGGTATCATCTACCCGATTTCCGACAGTACATGGGTTAGCCCGATTTAAGTTGTACCTAAGAAAGGGGGAATCACAGTCATCGCCAATGAGAAAAATGAATTAATACCTACACGGACTGTCACGGGGTGGAGAATGTGCATAGATTATCGCAAATTGAACACAAACACCCGAAAGGATCATTTCCCC